TTTTGAAAATAATTTATAAGACATAAGACATAAACCACACCCTTGCTTCTTTTGTGTATAAGGTCACTCTATTTTAATATACTTCACCGCATCTAGTATTATTTAAGTAACCTGCAACCATTTAGTAAATATACTTTTACACGGATTACAAATTTAGATAGATCAACTTTCCTCGTTTATTTTTGGTCAGGAGTCGGTTATATTTATCGACTGTCTGGCCAGTACCAACAATTATGTGGGTGAAACTTTAACCCGACACGTTTTTCCTTTATATACTGCACCCTCTTTTAATATACTGCACCACATTTAGTATTCTATTTTTGACTTTGCTAGTATTACACGGAATAAAATCTAAGATAGATGAACTTTGCCGGTGGGCTCAATGACACTTTCATCTTGTCCCCGGCTACCTGTCGCACCCACGTGTCTGAAGTTCCTCCGGGGGAAGTTTTTCCTGTTCTGGCCGATGCGATCCGTTGCTGCCTGCTCCAATGAACAATTTTGGGGCCACTTTCAATTCACTAACAATTTAAGTGACGCCCGGGGCCGTCAAACTTTTAATAGCCAAAACGAGGAGCAGCAGGATGAAAAGGACGAAAAGGACGAAGGGCGAGAAGGGAAGAGAGAGGACTAGAACCTGCAACGTGGAACACGTGCGACACTGCCCGGGGTCTTTTATGGGTCCTGGGCTCGGGATCCTGGAGAGATGCATAATACGTATACACGCACATGCTGTTTTTTTTGCAGGGGCGACGGGTGGCTGGTGACTGGGTGATGGGTGGCAAGGTCAAGGCTCCTGCGACTGCTACAAAGTAATTCGTTTCCGCTTCCGCTTCATTACTCTCGTCACCTCGCCTCACCTCACCCATCGAAAGCACTTAGAGAAAAGAAGGCAAATAAAGCACTGCGGTGCAAAAAAGAAAAAAAAACGAAATGAAATAAATCGAGGCTGGTAAATAAAATGCGCAATTGACAGGCATAAAGGAAATGGCTCCCACACACACATTCGACTGCAAGGATATTCCGACTCACAGATAGGAATTCAGATTCAGACGCCTCACCTGCCAGCTTGCAAAATGCTTATAGGCAAATACAAACAGGCGAATATCGGTGGGCGGGGTTGGCTTAATGGCGGCTAATTAACGCGTCCTTTGCCGTCAACTTGTTGAGTGGAGAACAGGACTCTTTGGCAGTCAACCGGCCTCAAAGAGAAGACGCTGGCTACTCCGGGGGTTATCCGTATTCCAAGCCCTTGACTTCCCAGCGCTCTGACCAATGTTGGTTTTAATTAAAAACCTCACGTTTTGTTGGCCTTTCTCCTTCTGATATTTCTTTTGAGAAATAATTACAAAAAATGTTCCTGCTAATTGGATTAGTATCTTTTATTTCACCATGCTAAACAAATAGGATACACATTTCGCTTTAGCAATCTTAGTATGGAATATTTGGCATTTCTGCTTCTGGTATTTCCTTCAAAAATTAACCAAAACACCCGGGAAATTGGATTGTTGCTTTAACTAACTTGTATAAACATTATTTCCTTTCGTTGCCCCATATTAACCAAGTAAGATACACTTCTCACTTTATTTATCTAAGTGGGGTGAAATCCCTTCAGGGATAAAATATATCAGAAAACTTTCCACTTATTCAAAAATAGGAGATGATTGACCCCCATTTCTGCAGCAAGGAGCTTGAAAAGGATTTCCGTGTACAGTTTATTACCTGCTCTACGTATTTTTTTTTGGCTTCAACAATTTTGGTAAGGCTTTAAGAAAATTTGCAAACTGATTAGCTTACATCCAGCCATCGGTTGTGTTTGCACAGGAGTCTGATGAAATTTGTAGCAAATTCGGAGCGTTGAAGCGATTCCCAGTGGGTTTTAAGACAGCTTTTGGCCAAGCCTTTCAACCAAATCACCACCCTCAAGCCTCCTCATGTGCGAGTGTGTTACCCTGATTTGTACAAATAGTTACTTGGCTCGCATGGGGGAACTACCCTTCTTACACTGAAAATGAGGATAGGCCAATAGGAAAAGTCGCAAAAAAATATACATAATTTATGAAATCACTCTTGAATTAGTACGATACATTGTAAATGATTATATTGTAAAATCTTAATCTAAGTCCATCGAAAACTAAACAGTCACATACTTCATAAATATCAAAAGAGATCAAAAAGGTTTACCTTTACTTGAATTTTAGAATGATCATAGCAGTTCCCCAAAACATCTGCCATGTTTATACATATTATTTGATTCAAAATAAATATTTTTTATATCTTTTTAAATATTGCCAAATTTATTTACCTTCTTTGTTATTGTCCAACCAAAATTAATAACGTTCTAGAATTTCTGTGTATTTTAAAATCAGCTTTTTAAGCAATCGATTGTCTACCTTTGTCTAAAGGTTTCCGCTTTTAAAATCGAAAAGGCCATTGAATGGGGAAACAATAGAAGTCTTTTGAAAGCGTATCTGAGAGTTTTTCTGCGTGTACCTAGGCACACAGATACACACACACAAATCGAAGCCATACTTGTGTGTGTTTGTGGATATCCTTTGCTTTCTCTGCGTATCAGCGTGCAAACTATAAAAACCAGAAGCTCAATTATCAAAATGCTATGTGTGTTTGTTTGTTTGTTGGTTTGCCTTTGTGCGTGTGTGTGGGTGTGGGTAACTGTCCCTGCCTCTTTTCACCCCCCTCCCTCTATTTTCCATTGTCCTGGTCCAGAAAGAGAGAGTGGGACAGCATCTGAAAGCTTTTCCCTTTGGGTTTTCAGTGTGTGCCCTCGCCTTTGACTGTGCAAATAGATAAATTTATTTATTTTATGCCCTGCTGCAGGAACCGCACACAAACAACAGGCGGCTGAGACGGCGATAGCATAGAAATTTTCTTTCTATTCCTGCTCTAAAATAAACCAGAAGCCAGAAAAAGAAAAGGACGAAGGGCGCAGGACGCAGGACGAAGGTGCTGGGGAGAAGGACAGCCAGCTGCCGGCAGACAACTGACTTTAAATGCCTTTATGCTCACAAAATACATAAACCGAACATTTTCGAGCAACTCGAAGGGGGCAGAGAGACACTTTCGCTGAATTGGAAATCGCTTTCACAATACCCAAACAGAATAGACTTCGGGCGGCACCCCACTGGGAAGAGTGGGAGGGGTTTGGGGGTGGGCGGTAATATGGGTTTGGAAAAAATATTAAAAAATTCAATGAAGCTTGCAGCTGAAGGAATGTCGAAGAAAGAATCAAAAGAAACCAATTCCAAGCAAACTTTCCAAGATTAAGCCATAAATAATTCGACAAATGCTACATTTGGTTAGCAATAGAACCCGTTTAGTATAGATAGAAAAGTACAGATCTCTGTTGATTTGAGTGATTTTATTTCTCTTATCGAGGATTTAAGGTACCCTTAAGGGTTAAACATCTTCATAAAACTAATATACAAATTTTTTGTTATGTAAAAATTGATTTAATTGAATTCACAGGTGATAAGAAATAAACAGAAGAAAAATGATTTATTGTTAGATAAGCTTTATGAACCTCATCCTTTACTTCCGAAAACTTTAGGCAGAACGAATGTAGTATAAAAATGTGTAACTTAGGCACCATAAACAATGCAAAATTGAATTCAAACAAATTTCTTTGAACAGGAAAATTGCTTTTAATATCAGGTTAGCTTTCTATAAGCCTCACCTTACTTCCGAAAACTGTTGGCTGGGAAGAACAGCAACAAAAGTAAAAATACAGCAGAATAGTAGCACATCCAAGGTATACAAAAAATGGTATGGCCAAACAAAAACATTAAGTGAAAATGACAGGAACAGAGTCTGTATTTTTATGCAAGTATATAGACTTATGGTCAATACCCAGGAATATATTATAAATTATAGTTCAGCTGCAGGCATCCCTGAACCTGGGCGTACGCCTCGTATACGCAATGTGCCTGACAATGGACTCCGACAGGAAGCCAAAGAAAAGCAGTAAAAAATGTCACATCTTCCAATATGTAGCAAGTGTGTGTGGGGGGGGGGGAGGGTAAGTTCAGAGGATGAGCATTCGTGCGTGTGTGCCTTTATATCCAAAAGTTTTTGCCACTTTCTTTAGCCGAGCTCAACTTTTGTTATGCTCGCTTAGCTCCGGCTAAGGATACTCCGTCTGAGTCTACGACTGCCCAGCTATTTTAGTACATTTCTATGCTGCTTTCAGTTGACTTTCACTTTCACTTTCGTGTGCCTGCGTGTGTACCAATATTTTACACTCTTTGCAGGGGATGAGCTCCGGTTCGAGTTTCAGTTTGTTTGTATAATTTAAGTCCAAAACCGATTGGAGAAGAAAAACAGGATAGAAAACTTCGGTCAATTGAGTACGACTATAAGATACCCGATACTCGCTGGCCTGCTACCAAATATGTTGCCTAATGGGGGCTTTTGAAATAAAAAGAACCAAATATATTTAGTAGGTGTGGTATATTTTTAACAAATGCTCTTATTTTCAAATATAAATAAAAGAATAATAAAAAGAATAATGAGACTTGCATTAACTTTTACAGATCGAATCATATATATATTATATCAAATTCTGAATACAATATACCCCATTTACTAAGTATTGGCAAAGGGAATGCACACGTGCAGCCACGTGAGGTTCAATTCAACCCAAAACATATCCACATTCCCCGCACTATCCCCACTCGGCCTTTTTTATGTGCTTTGTGTGCTACAAATTGTTTGGCTTGGGAAATTCCTGACGTTTTTGTTGAGGTTTTTATGGAGTCTCCTTTGGGACTTGGGGCTGCAGGAGACGTCCATGAAGAGATAGAGTCTAAAACTAATTTGTGGCAGCAGGCCGGGAAATTGGAAAATATTGTTATTAATATTCGACAAAGGGATGGGCATTCCAATAGAGCTCCTCCCCCAGAGTCGATTAAGTGCCGAACAAATGAAGTGTGCTCCCTCCTCGGTTACCATACGCCTAACCTTCCCTTTATCTATTTTTTCAGGTAAATGGAGTCTGGGCCCTGCCTGACGTTGTTTGTGATTTCTATATAGCCATGGATGTGATATGCTCTACTTCATCGATATTCAACTTAGTTGCCATCTCCATAGACAGGTGAGTTTATAATGGAGGATATGTGGAAGATATATCTCATATTCCCTGATTATTTTAGATATATCGCTGTGACACAGCCAATAAAGTACGCCAAGCACAAAAATAGCCGCCGCGTTTGCCTTACGATACTGCTGGTGTGGGCCATATCGGCTGCCATCGGTTCTCCGATAGTTCTGGGCCTCAACAACACGCCCAATCGCGAGCCCGATGTATGCGCCTTCTACAACGCTGACTTTATACTCTACTCCTCGCTGAGCAGCTTCTATATACCCTGCATTATTATGGTGTTTCTCTACTGGAACATTTTCAAGGTGAGCTGAAGTGGGAATAAATATGTATGATACCTATATAAATATAGGTATTTCAAGAGTTCCGATTATTCTATTATTAGTTTTACATTACATTTGACTAGGTATATAACCATATTTTACTATATTGATAACAAACATGAATGAACTCTAAGAACAATTTTTTTAAAACAATTATTAAGACAAAACACAAAGGATCTTATAATATATAATCTATTCTATCAACCGTTTGAGGGTTTCATAGAGACTATGACATCTTAAAATTGTTAAAGACACCAAGAAAAACCAGAATTCGAGAACGTTTTTCCTTGATTCAAGAACAACTTGTTCTTTTTTTTGTACCAAAACTTTTGTTCCAATTAGCTTAAAAGTCTATGGGGTCGACTCGAGAACAATTCAAAACTTTTGTATAAGTACTGAATAATACTTTGTGAATCCAATTCGGCTTAGTTTTTTAACGTTTCAAACTGTTTTTTTTCCGTGTGCAGCTAGACATTTCTATGGCATCTTTTTTATAATACACACATCAGTTTCAAGCGCTTTTACTCAGATTGCAATTAAAATCGGATTTTTCCGAGCCGAGTGGAATCAATATTCCCGTGCTGTCCGTGGCACAATTCGCAATCTGCAATCTGCAATCCGGCCAAGAATGATAGAACGGGATGGTATGGGGTCTTATGTTTGTGCACATTAGCTGCTGACTGGGGACGAATATCCGGAGGATGCAAGCGCAGCATGGCACTGCTTAATCCGCTCATGCCGTATCCCGAATACCGTATCCTGTACGCTGTACTCTGCATCTCGTATCCTGTGTTCTGTATCCCCCATCCTGTTTTCCATCCGTAGGCGCTGAGGAGTCGGGCGCGGAAGCAGCGGGCGGCCCGCAAGCCCCACCTATCGGAACTCACGGGCGGCAGTGTCATCGAGAACATCGCCCAAACGCGCCGCCTGGCGGAGACGGCATTGGACAGCAGCCGGCACGCCAGCAGGATCCTGCCGGACGAGGCGGCCACCAACACGGCCAGCGGTTCCAACGAGGAGGAGGACGAGAACGCCATCTCGCCGGACATCGACGACTGCCACGTCATCGTGAACGACAAGTCCACCGAGTTCATGCTGGCCACCGTCGTCGAGGAGACGGGCAAGTGAGTACTCGTTCTGCGGTGGAGTTTGAGGTTATGATATGAATATCCTTTTTTTGGACCATATACGGGTTCATTCATTTAAAACATGGAAAATATATAGCCGTTAAGTGGAGATACCTAATAAAAAAAGGACAAAGTTCATTGATTTCCTGGTCAATTTATCTTTTTGATTTTAATCTATTGCAGTTTTAATTTATTTGAATTAGGGAAGGTTACATTTATACTTCTTTATTTATGTTGTATTTAATTTAATTACGATTGTAACATTTGCTTCTTCTATATTAAATTAAAAAAGACTTAAAGTAACTATGAGCGTCGTTTCCAATATTTTATACCTTGACTTAAATACTTTTATAATACATTTAGTGATTTTATTATGAAATTAATTTTTATTAAATGACTTAAATATTGCCACACTAAATTTAACAATTATAGTTTATTTTAGTATTTTAAACCTTGATTTAAATATAGGACTCTGCTTTATTAAATTAAAAAATTCTCATTGTATGCATAGCATATTAAACAAGCTGCTCAAAACAGTCGGTCTTTTAGCTGTACGCCTTGAATTGGCTGAACTACGATGAAAAAACAGAAAAAGAATGTCGCATTTTTGGCAAAAATCTGAATTTCGTATTTTTGACAAAAATGTAAACCCTTTTTTTCGCCAAAAATATTCGGTTTTTTGGCTGCCATAACAAAAGTATAAGTCAGAATGAGGAATGTCATACCTCGTTGAGCTCGTTGTTTAATTTCCAATCGATTGGCATTCTAACCTGAAAATTTTTCATTTTTTGCCATTTTTCGAAAAAATTTGATGAAACCCCTAAAAATTGCGAAAATTGGTCAAAAAATAAATTTTCATAAAAGTGATGAGGATCGTTAGCATATTAAACAAGCTGCTCAAAACAGTCGGTCTTTTAGCTGTACATCTTGAATTGGCTGAACTACGATGAAAAAACCGAAAAAAATTGTCGCATTTTTGGCAAAAATCTGAATTTCGTATTTTTGACAAAAATGTAAACCCTTTTTTTCGCCAAAAATATTCGGTTTTTTGGCTACCATAACAAAAGTATAAGTCAGAATGAGGAATGTCATACCTCGTTGAGCTCGTTGTTTAATTTCCAATCAATTGGCATTCTAACCTGAAAATTTTTTATTTTTTGCCATTTTTCGAAAAAATGTGATGAAACCCCTACAAAAATTGCGAAAATTGGTCAAAAAATAAATTTTCATAAAAGTGATGAGGATCGTTAGCATATTAAACAAGCTGCTCAAAACAGTCGGTCTTTTAGCTGTACGTCTTGAATTGGCTGAACTACGATGAAAAAACCGAAAAAAAATGTCGCATTTTTGGCAAAAATCTGAATTTCGTATTTTTGACAAAAATGTAAACCCTTTTTTTCGCCAAAAATATTCGGTTTTTTGGCTGCCATAACAAAAGTATAAATCAGAATGAGGAATGTCATACCTCGTTAAGCTCGTTGTTTAATTTCCAATCGATTGCCATTCTAACCTGAAAATTTTTTCATTTTTTGCCATTTTTCGAAAAAATGTGATGAAACCCCTACAAAAATTGCGAAAATTGGTCAAAAAATAAATTTTCATAAAACTGATGAGGATCGTTAGCATATTAAAAAAGCTGCTCAAAACAGTCGGTCTTTTAGCTGTACGTCTTGAATTGGCTGAACTACGATGAAAAAACCGAAAAAAAGTGTCGCATTTTTGGCAAAAAACTGAATTTCGTATTTTTGACAAAAATGTAAACCCTTTTTTTCGCCAAAAATATTCGGTTTTTTGGCTGCCATAACAAAAGTATAAGTCAGAATGAGGAATGTCATACCTCGTTGAGCTCGTTGTTTAATTTCCAATCGATTGGCATTCTAACCTGAAAATTTTTCATTTTTTGCCATTTTTCGAAAAAATGTGATGAAACCCCTACAAAAATTGCGAAAATTGGTCAAAAAAATAAATTTTCATAAAAGTGATGAGGATCGTTAGCATATTAAACAAGCTGCTCAAAACAGTCGGTCTTTTAGCTGTACGTCTTGAATTGGCTGAACTACGATGAAAAAACCGAAAAAAAATGTCGCATTTTTGGCAAAAAACTGAATTTCGTATTTTTGACAAAAATGTAAACCCTTTTTTTCGCCAAAAATATTCGGTTTTTTGGCTGCCATAACAAAAGTATAAGTCAGAATGAGGAATGTCATACCTCGTTGAGCTCGTTGTTTAATTTCCAATCGATTGGCATTCTAACCTGAAAATTTTTCATTTTTTGCCATTTTTCGAAAAAATGTGATGAAACCCCTACAAAAATTGCGAAAATTGGCCAAAAAATAAATTTTCATAAAACTGATGAGGATCGTTAGCATATTAAACAAGCTGCTCAAAACAGTCGGTCTTTTAGCTGTACGCCTTGAATTGGCTGAACTACGATGAAAAAACAGAAAAAAAATGTCGCATTTTTGGCAAAAATCTGAATTTCGTATTTTTGACAAAAATGTAAACCCTTTCTTTCGCCAAAAATATTCGGTTTTTTGGCTGCCATAACAAAAGTATAAGTCAGAATGAGGAATGTCATACCTCGTTGAGCTCGTTGTTTAATTTCCAATCGATTGGCATTCTAACCTGAAAATTTTTCATTTTTTGCCATTTTTCGAAAAAATGTGATGAAACCCCTACAAAAATTGCGAAAATTGGTCAAAAAATAAATTTTCATAAAAGTGATGAGGATCGTTAGCATATTAAACAAGCTGCTCAAAACAGTCGGTCTTTTAGCTGTACGTCTTGAATTGGCTGAACTACGATGAAAAAACCGAAAAAAAATTTCGCATTTTTGGCAAAAAACTGAATTTCGTATTTTTGACAAAAATGTAAACCCTTTTTTTCGCCAAAAATATTCGGTTTTTTGGCTGCCATAACAAAAGTATAAGTCAGAATGAGGAATGTCATACCCCGTTGAGCTCGTTGTTTAATTTCCAATCGATGTGCATTCTAACCTAAAAATTTTTCATTTTTTGCCATTTTTTGAAAAAATGTGATGAAACCCCTACAAAAATTGCGAAAATTGGTCAAAAAATAAATTTTCATAAAAGTGATGAGGATCGTTAGCATATTAAACAAGCTGTTCAAAACAGTCGGTCTTTTAGCTGTACGTCTTGAATTGGCTGAACTACGATGAAAAAACCGAGAAAAAATGTCGCATTTTTGGCAAATATCTGAATTTCGTATTTTTGACAAAAATGTAAACCCTTTTTTTCGCCAAAAATATTCGGTTTTTTGGCTGCCATAACAAAAGTATAAGTCAGAATGAGGAATGTCATACCTCGTTGAGCTCGTTGTTTAATTTCCAATCGATTGGCATTCTAACCTGAAAATTTTTCATTTTTTGCCATTTTTCGAAAAAATGTGATGAAACCCCTACAAAAATTGCGAAAATTGGTCAAAAAATAAATATTCATAAAAGTGATGAGGATCGTTAGCATATTAAACAAGCTGCTCAAAACAGTCGGTCTTTTAGCTGTACGTCTTGAATTGGCTGAACTACGATGAAAAAACCGAAAAAAAATGTCGCATTTTTGGCAAAAATCTGAATTTTGTATTTTTGACAAAAATGTAAACCCTTTTTTTCGCCAAAAATATTCGGTTTTTTGGCTGCCATAACAAAAGTATAAGTCAGAATGAGGAATGCATATTTTAATCTATATTTCAGTTTTAATTTATTTGAATTAGGGAATGTTACATTTATACTTCTTTATTTATGTTGTATTTAATTTAATTACGATTGTAACATTTGCTTCTTTTATATTAAATTAAAAAAGACTTAAAGTAACTATGAGCGTCGTTTCCAATATTCTATACCTTGACTTAAATACTTTTATAATACATTTAGTGATTTAATTATGAAATTAATTTTTATTAAATGACTTAAATATTGCCACACTAAATTTAACAATTATAGTTTATTTTAGTATTTTAAACCTTGATTTAAATATAGGACTCTGCTTTATTAAATTAAAAAATTCTCATTGTAAATGTAATGATTGAGTTATTTTATTCAAATATTAAAAACGCAAATTCTATCTCTATTTTTTTTATCAGTGTAATGTTGGTTTTAGATCTCTACACATATACATTTTAGCACCCACTTTTTGGACGCTAACGAGCTGTTTTTTATTTGCGTACTTATTTGTTTTGGCCGTGGCACCTTGTTTTAGCATCTTATGATTGCCCCCTAATATAAACACGTCGTGCGAATTTGAAATGGACGTATAGTTTTGCAAAACCACTTATGTCTTACGTGGACGGGGTATGAAAAGCAGTAACTTTCAGTCAATTTCAGTGCAAACTCCGTGCCAGAGAATGAAAGTTGGGGCCCGGAGCTATCTGCGATGGCCCTGGGAAAGTGGAAAAGTTGGTAGCTCAGCAGTTTCGTTTCCGTATCCGTATCCTTGTCCGCTTTCCGCTGCGGCAGCTTGCAACTTGCAACCTGGCAACCTGGCAACCCTGGCACGTGCCGCAAACACGTAATAGATAAGCCTGTTTCTGCTGAGTGGTCTCGAATGCACTTCCTTCCAAAAGACCAGATCTCCAGACGACCAGACGACCCATGCCCGTGGAGAACTGTCAATCTAATGGCAGGCTTGGCTCCAACATGGAGCCACTCAATTGCCGACATAAAAGCGACACGGCACTGCACTTTCAATCAGGTCCTGCCAAAAGGACACCTTCCTCATCAGCACTCACTCCCTGCAATCAGATTTCCCGAATCCCCATCTTCAACCGAATCCCTGTCCAAAAACCGCCATTAAGTGCGAGCGTTAAGCGCAGCCAATTAGCATCCTGATGGCCTGTTTAATCCAATAAGGACATGAAATGAGACCATTAATGACAGGCTGGATGCACAAAAGAATGAAATGGGATGGGATCGACCGGGTCTCGAATGGCATCAAAGACCGCGAAACTTTTGCCGCCTCAAAAGAAATCCCAGCCAATGCCCGAGAAAAATAATTCTCAATAATTCAATTAATGCGTCACTTTATTAAAACTCAATCTTGCCTTGCCTTTAATTGACGTTGCGCCCCGATTTTCCGTCTTTTTCGTCCTTCATCAATGCCGCTTCATCGCTTTCCCGCCTGCTGCCCCAACGATTGATTGATTAATTGATGGCCGCGGCTCCTTTAATTGGAAAACAACGCTCCACATCGCACTCGCAGCAGCGTCGTGGCCCAAATCACCACTCAGCCGCAGCTGGTCGTCGCCGATCCGAATGGTAATCATGATTCTGGTTATGCAGCCTCAAACGTTGACGATGTCCTTGCAGGCGTGGCGCCCGCCTCCGCCTCCGCCGCCACCTCCGCTGCAGCTCCGCGGAGCAGCGGCTCGCCGCCGGACAGTCCGCTGCCCAGTGGCGCCACCCTCCAGCGGTCCAGCGTCAGCAGCCAGCGGCGCAACCCCGACGACTCGCCGAAGCGCGGCGAGCCGACTCTCAGGTCAGTCGGTGTCGATAACTCCAGGTATTTCTATTTGGCTTTCAGATCCGTAGGTCAGAACTCGAGCCCCTGTAGATTTCCAACATTCAAACAAATATTCAACCTGAATTCTAGAAAATTTTGAGTTATTCACGATTTTTTCGATATTTAGAAACAATTATAAAAAATTTAAGTAAAAGTAGAACTTCAGATATTTCAAATTAGCATTTAGATCCGTGAGCCACAACCCATTCCCCCATAATATACCTCAGCTATACAAAATATTCGGCCTGAAATCTAGAAAATTAAGATAAATATACACAATCAATTTTTTTTTAAGTAAAGTAAATTTATCATAAAAAAACATTTTTTTTTTAAATTAAGAAAGTCATATTTGACTCGGAATTTCTAAAACTCATTGTGAAAATCGTTTGTGTTTATTTTCCCGATATCTCTATAATCTCAGCAAATCTTTTATCCTCGAACATTTATCATATCGCCAATGCTATTGAACTGACATTTTAGACAAAAATCTAGAACATATAATTTATCACAACAAACTTACTTACTTATTAAATTTTTATCGCCATCTCTAAAGTCATTAAATACAAAATAGTCGGTTTATAACACAAATACAAGCTCTCTTTTTCAATAGGTTGCTTGTGTTATTTTATGCAAAAATAAAACGAATTCTATTACACAATAAATTGTGTTATAATGCTTTAAATGCCAGAACATGAAACAAAAAGTGTTTATGCAATTCATTACTTACTTTTTGTACCATGTATTTGCGACAAAAGAGTCAAGCCGTGTCAAATGTGACAGCAATTTAATTAAACATTTTAGAAGACCGTCAATTTATGCGGGTTTTCAACCAAAATGTGTATCTAGTTCATATAAAGGAACAGTGATCCAACTTGCCTAGCACTTTTCCAAAATAGGTTATAAGTTTACAATAATCAAATATTAACCGCTTCCCTAAATATTACCAGGATACAAAAATGTGGTTGGTCACTTGTTTTTCGTTTTCCTATTAATTAATCAATCACACTCTTATTTAATAGTTCCAACAAGTCCCAAACCTTTTCCAAAAAGACCCCGCACTGTTTTCGCACTTATAATGTCAGAAACCGCAAGTAGGCCCCCTGGAATCCGAAAATAGTTCGGTAATGCCGTAGTTTAGCGCTTCTCGATTGCGTTTTCATTCCGACCGCTTCCCACTTCCGTTTCCGCTTGCAGCGTCGCCATGAAGCCATTGTCCTTTGTCCGCTACGGGGTGCAGGAGGCCATGACTTTGGCACGCAACGACTCAACGCTATCGACCACATCGAAAACGTCCTCGCGCAAGGATAAGAAGAACTCGCAGGCGTCAAGGTGAGTAAATGCCGACGTCGCCCCTAATTACGGTTATTAGTTTGGCTTTTCTGTTGGCCAGTTTGGGCCCTGCTTTCCCACTCCTACTTTCCCACTTTCACTTCCTTTCTGCCTTTGCAAAATGCAATATATATATATTACATATACCATGGCCCATTATCCTTTGCGTGTCGTACAGATTCACGATATACAAGGTGCACAAGGCCTCGAAAAAGAAACGCGAAAAATCGTCGGCCAAAAAGGAACGCAAGGCCACCAAAACATTGGCCATTGTTTTGGGTAAGTTCAACAGCAGGCCCTGAATTTTAAGTGTATGCTAATGTGAAATCTGAATTCCGAATCCATGGCCAACCCAAACAACCCAAACAACCAAACAGGTGTCTTCCTGTTCTGCTGGCTGCCCTTCTTCAGCTGCAACATCATGGACGCCATGTGCGCCAAGTTCAAGAAAGACTGCCGACCGGGCCTCACGGCCTACATGATGACCACCTGGCTGGGCTACATCAACAGCTTTGTGAACCCGGTGATCTACACGATATTCAATCCCGAGTTTCGCAAGGCCTTCAAGAAGATCATGCACATGGGGTGATTAAAAACGCGAATAGCAATAGCAACTACCAGGATGGTGAGGGAGTCCTTGTGGACTGGATATGATTATGATATGATATGCCAAATGGAAGCCATCGATGCACATGAGACCTCAGTTGGCACTGTGCATTGGGCTTTAGTTACGTTTCGTTTGTCGTTCGTTGGCTTCTCCAATAGCATTAAGGTTCAGCTACTTATGTAAATAGATCTGTATATACCTCTACTCGGTTAGGCCCATATACTCAGCAAGACAGAAAGACACAGAGAGAGAGAGAGAGAGAGAGGCGAGAGCATTACGAGCTGTAGGCTAGGTAAAATTTTTAACAATTACATTAAGCTAACCCTAACTAGCGATATAATCAAGACACGACAACCACAGCAAACACGCGATTAACATTCCAAAGTAGCCATAAGTTATGCTAGGGTTACGGATACGACTCGCTTTAACAGGACAATGTAGTGTTCTTCGTAGGCTGCTCCCAAAACCTATCACATATCACGAGCAGCAAGCTATACCCACCACACACAGTACTCAGCCCCCCTCTATTCGAACCCAAAAATAAACCCCGAATATTAGATAAGAGAGTATGAAACAAGTTCATATCCCTAAAGGTTCTGCTGGCGATTGTTCCATATCGATACATGGTGTCGGTACCTAGAGTTAGTTAGTTAAATAATCGGAAATAAGTAGATAATATAGCTAGCGGGCCTTGGGGTCAGCGCCTTCCACCACAGACACATCACATGTACGAATTGGTCCAAGTTAGTTGGCGGACATGGGCGATAGGAAAGGGAAGTATACAACTTGACAGAGTGACACAGACACACACACGAGCAGACACCATAAATCAAATGAGCCCCACAAATTAATACAATATCGAGGGGCGCTGACCTTGAAGCTAATCCCGCTTAAAGGTCACTTTCCGTTCGATTTTCAGTTCGTTTAGCTATAGAGACGAGCATTATATAAGAGCATTTAAGATCCAGAGGTCGTACCTAGGCTAGTCATATATATATATATATATATCAGATAGTACCAAGGGGGGCTGGCGTTATAAAGAGCCTGGATGCATAGCAAGGAGGGGGAGAATCAGGGTATCTAGAGCAAAGGCTACCGCATTGCTAGAAGCAATAGGCGGTGAAAAGGAGCTCCGACTTTGGAGCCACCATAGCAGATATACTCATCGGTTTAAGCGTACGTGTATAGTGGAATATCAAAACTGAGTTTTGAAACACGGACCGAAACCTTTGTCCTGCCGGAACTCGGATTCCCAGGATCCTGAGATCGTTTCAAAACGGCAGGGCCGAAGGCCTTTGGTCCCTGATTTCAACAGCCGTCCTCTTAACTGTTTCTATGTGACAAATAATTGATAGGTAATTACTCCTACGTGTGTAGTAGTTTATAAAACAATTCCATTAATTACATATAGTACATATGGTATAAGCTCGGATTTGTGTACTTAGGCGTAAGCGGTGCCCCCAGCTCACATTTCCATGGAAACCCCTAGGAAACTCGAGAAAAAGCTCAACAGTTTTTATACTTTCCTAAGAACTCCAATACAAATATAGTAGCGAGTGTGTTGAGTGTGTGTTGGTGAGTGTTTTTTTTCGACAGGTTAGAACTCTAGTCGATAAGGTTAGGCTAAGACTATACTGTTCTACTTTCAGATCAGTGTGAAATGCTCTTAAGTTAGGTTCTTCCAAAGAAAACGCTTATTAATTATAGCTAATTGGTAATTTTGCAATTTGAACAAACTATTTATACGACACCAACACAAGCACACACACACACAATATTACTGTTGATTTATCAAAATTGTAGCCTGAGTTTTCCAATCGTTGAATTGTTGTCTGTTATCGTTAATTTGTGAATGAGATATAGCATACTTTTAAGGTTCCTCCGTAGCGAGATCTCTCTACCAATAAAGCATATATACGATACCGAGTTTGTAAAATAACTGAAAATGGACATGGAAACGGAAAAACTGAAATGAAAACTATTTTAATGAAATGGAAATATTTGTGTTTTTTTTTTCTAGAAAATTATGAGAATTATTAACTAAATGAAACGTAGGCTAAGCTCTAAGAAAAGCAAACTATTTCAAAAATAATTATCATAGCTTACGGAAATAATAATAGCGAATAACAACAATAAACTAATGATACCAAATAGGATGTGGAGCGGCCTAGACTTCGTCAGCATAAGAATACATCAAATAAATAAAGCAAAACTGAAAATATTTCAAGGCAAAACAAATCGCGAACTTTTTATTTCGATGGGAGAAAACTTTCTCTTTGGCTCGGGGGTTGGTAAGTTCATATACAATATGTCTGTATAAATGGCCTCCTACTTTTCCTTTCAGCTTTCTCCTACCGTACATGTGTGCGTATATACCAACATTTTATTGCACTTATATGAGCTGATAATAAAATTCCAATAAGCATGAAAAGAAATAAAAATACTTACACAAGACAAACAAGAGGTACAATGGCTGGAAGTGAGTTCCGGTGGTTGGGTTGCTGGATAGTGAAATCCATTCGAGAAGGAGCTGACGGTCGTCGCCACCTCTTCGGAAACCGAAAACCCAACTAAGAACCCCTTAATAGATGAAAGCAGTCGGAGTCGAAGGAAAGGAATCTCCACCACAGCACTCGTCATATTCTAATGGGTACTCAGTCAGCCGGTCCAGGAGTTGGAGGCGGATATATGGATTCATATCCGAATTCAGACTGGTGAATAAATGAGACTGGGCGCTTTCTGATACGAAACGACCCGTACACTGCGGAAAAATTCATAGTTGTTAAGTACGTTCTGGTATTTAACACATTTACCTAACATTTTGTATTATATCATCCAATATTTATATTTTCTGAAGAGCGAGGTAAGATCGACAAACCAAAGGAAACCATAGAGGTTCTTAATCATGTTTTGATATTTAATAAAATTATTTAACTTACAAAATTAATATCACTGTGAACGGCATTCCACGTAGTGACGAAAATAATGCCAGGATCAACATTGAAAATATGGAATCCTCAAGTGGTTCTTTTGATAGCCACGGAAATAAAATTAATATATAAATTAAATTCTTAAATTAAGTCAGAAATCAACTTCAAAATGGAATGAAATTAACTCATTTCACTTTTTTAGATACTACCATTTCGTTCCTGAGTCAAAAATATTCAGCTCAAAATAAGAACAAATGTTCTCAATTCAAGCACAATGTGCTCGGTTTTTCCTCTCTGTGTAGTAATACTTAACAATATGAAGAATTTTTAAAAAGTAGTCATAGAATCGCCGTAGTAATCAGCAGATTATGTTCTGTTTGATATTTTGTTCTGGAAACCATTAGAGATTTTTTCAGGGTAGAGCACATTTAGATATTTTATTTTGGATGCAATTAAAGTTAGACAATTTTGTAAATGAAACACTTTTACTCAGATCATTAAAAGCCTGTAATTTATGAAACCGATACATTACAAATTTTTCTCAATGAATGCCAATTTGGTTTTCGCACAGCTACAGCTGCTCGGTCCGCAGAGGCGTCATTGTCTTTGAGCTGCGTCTTGGCCTGACCATAAATACAAATGTAAAAAGGGCAACTAGAGCCGACCCCTGACCTCCTGCCCCACCTCCTTGCAATTTCTGCCTCCATTTGAGTGCGAGCAAAGTTGTTTCATTCGATTGTGTGTCTTGGACTGCCCGACTGCTGGGTCGAGAGTTGTGTGCTCCATGTCCATAACTAATTCGAACTAAATGATGTACTAAAGTGTTGAGGGAACACGGATACTCGTGCCCAGAGGAATGGACATCCAGACAGTCAGACACCAGGACACCAGAAATACGACACACACACGAGGAGGGTGCGTATGAAATGTTTTCCGTCTGGGGGCGATATCTTATCGTTACACACACTGGGTGGCGATAATTGACAGACCATTAACGTTTGGATTGCAAAAGCCAAAGTAAAACTAGGCGGGCAGGCAAGCGTTTAAATCTTAAAGGCATATGTAGGCCAGGCATATCGATGTCCAGAGAACTGTGTAATTTGCTAAGATTCTATACGAATCGAGTGATCGAAATTGAGGACTAAGATTCCATCGAAATTAAAGAGGCGTTCCGGTTGGAGATGCTCCATTGCCAGAGCCTCCGATAAAAGGACCCAGCCCAGCCAATCAGTCGACTTGGGGTATTTTACCCCTGAAGGGGTTGACCCCTCAACCGCACCACTATGGCTTAACATCTGACCCGGAATGGAATTCTGGCAACCGGAAACTCTACCGGCCAGAGTCAAAATCGAAAAATATGCACACGACCAGAAATAGTTTAAATACAAGGCCGAATATTAAAATGTGGAAGGACTCGGGACGCAGTACTCGGAACTCGGGACTCGGGACCCAGGACCTCTGGCGATGGGGTTAGTGCAATCAAGCATGCCTTCTCAGTGGATTACTGTCCCGGCCTGACCTGCCGCCGTTTCAACTTCACGGTCGATGACTTTTCAGCCTTCTGGCCAGCGAAAGATGAAAGGCGGTTCGAAAAGGCTGGCAGGCTGAGTGACCAGCTATAAACTCGGAATAAATTCACTACCCGAATTTTTCACTTTAAGGGGAAACCTGCTTTACATGGTTGGGTTGTCCATGCGAAAAAGGCCTCATGTTTTATATATATTCCGAAATATTTAGAATTTTTTAAAGGATAAACAGTTTTTTTGGTACAGAAAGTAGGGTATCTTGGTAAGTAAATTGAACAAAAAATGTTGATTTATAATATTTTACTAATATTTATCGAAGTTGCGAATGAAACAGATATTACAGTATTTTTTATGATTTTAATTTAAACAGTAGCTAGTTTAGAGTATGATTCATTCATGCTTTAATTACTAGCAAATATTGTTTTATAAACGATTGAAATATTTTGAGCTGTAGTGACTGAAGTCCCCCATAAATATTAGGAATCCGTAAATACCATATGATGAAAAATACTTAAATTTAAAGTTTTTTAAGATTTGATTCAAATATTAAACTTACATTAAACAAAAATTCAAAAAGAACTTTATAATATGTTATATGATTTATGTTTATGCTAAAAATGTACTTTTAATTATTTATAGATATTGTTTTAAACGTTTAAAATATTTTCAACTGTATTCCTTTTTGCCCTGAGGACTTGGCACTTGCTCAAGTGACTGGAAGCACTTATATTTATGGATTTGCAAGGAGGACCGCAGTCATCGTCTGTTCCCTCTTCAGTTGGCAGGGTCAATATAATTTTACTGTCATCCGATTATCGTCGTGGCTGGCTGGCTGCCGTCAAGACCGATTGAATGGCTGGTCCTCGAGAGGTTCTAGTACTCTCAATTAACTCTTCGGCTCTGCTTTTTTTGTTCTAATGATTTTCCTATTGAAATTTTATACTTTACATAGTTAATGCTCAATGGTAAAGGATCTGGAAAACGAAATAACAAAGTTATCATCCAAGTAGCCCAGCGGATAACCTTTATCCACCCAGCCCATTGTTCAGTATCAAAAATCGTGCTGTGACTGTTCGGGCGAGTAGAAAAACTATGAGTAAATTTTTAGAAGTTTTAGCTGCTGCGTACAAATCGGTGCTTCCTGGCAAACAAACCGCCGTTCCAGAAAACAAAATCTAGAAACCAAATCAGCGGATCGGTACAGAAGGCAAGATGGTGGAGTTCGGCTTCGACCTCAAGCACCTATTTCCCCAGCCGATCATCCGGGTGCAGGCGGACTCGCTGCATCCCAAGGTCCTGTCCACCGGTCCCCGGGCCCATCCATTCATACCGTACCAACGCCAGCGAGGAGTTGGCCAACCGGCGGTGCCGCCGGGGGGGCCCAGCTGCGAATTGAGCCAGATCGTGGACGTGATGGGGCAGCTGTCGGCGGTTGCCCAGGGACTGCGCTATCCGGTGACCACCGCCGCAAAGTTGGCACCCGACCAGGTGGTCTACCTGCTGGCCGACAAGGATGCGGCGGGCCGATGGTCAGTTGCCGGGCTACTCAAGGTCGGCACCAAGGACCTCTTTGTGTTCGACAACAAGGGTTCCTGCCGCCGGGCGAATCAAACTCCAGCCATCCTGGACTTCTATGTCCACGAGTCACGCCAACGCCGTGGCCTGGGCAAGCAGCTCTTTCAGCGCATGCTGGATGAACAGGGCTGGACAGCTGGCAAATGCTCGGTGGATCGGCCCTCGGAGAAGCTACTCGCTTTCCTGGGCAAGCACTACGGCCTGGTAAGCACCATTCCCCAGGGGAACCACTTTGTGCTCTACGAGGGCTTCTTCGAGGATCCGCATGCCAAGATCGTTTCGGCCCGCAGTCGTGTGCCGGACGGCAGGGATCGCAGCCAGAGTCAGGGTCACCATCTGCGGCAGACACAGACGCAGGTCCAGACGCAGCAGCAGAAGCAGCAGCAGCAGCAGGGTCTGGGCACTGGGCAGACCATTGGCAATCCCAGACACTACCGACGGGACACCCTCAATCAGGGGTCGGGAGCGAGCCTGGCAGCATCGCTGCATGAACGTGGGCCCTGGACTACCAGCATGGACTACATGGCCGGCTCCAGGGGCAGAAGAGGAGACCATTAGGTGTACCCATACCCGTTCCCTTGCCCGTAACCCCGTCCCCTCACTCCAAGGCGAGTTAACGCTTGGCTCGTTTCCATTGAGGGCATCATCGCACACAAAATTGCTAGTTTATGTTAAAATTTTAATGGTTCCTAACTGTTATATAATTCAATCATCCAGAAAAACGACAAAAGAAATCCACATTTCCGGGTTTGACTAAATAAATTAAATTATGTAAATGCACACGTAGATTGTATAAAGTTGTGAATTAATTGGATTAGTCAGGTTACAAAACGATTAGGGCTCGGTTTCTAAGGCTTATGTTAAGGTTATTGTTAGTTGTGTGTCAGAGACAGTTAACAGCAAGTTGAAATGGTGTGAAAGATTGAATCGGTTTTTCAAAGAGGTGTATATTTTATGAACAGCAGATCTGTTATCAAACGATTCAGTGGGAAATTTTACTTCAGAATTGAGATTTAATTCGATCAGTCAGATGGACAAACGATTAAGGACAGATTTCTCATAAGAATGTAAAAGCTTTAGTTGGTTATTTATCGAAAGAAGTTAACATTAAGTCTAATTGTTCGGAAGACAAGTTTGTTTTCTGTTAAAAAAGAGTGTTATCAAATGGAAATTGAGATTTTATTGGATTAGTAAGATGGCCAAACAAGTAAGAACCGATTTTTAACAGCACGTTAATGTTCTAGATAGTTATCTGTAAAAAAGTTTACATTAAGTTAAATTGTTTCGAAAGACAAGACCGATTTCCCAGTGTGGTTTGACAAGCCCTAAAAGAAAATTAGCCGAACTATTCGTTGTTATTTTGATTTTGACTAGAAATTTTAATTAAGAGATATTAATCAAATGAAACTTAAAATCATATGAAGAAACTGATTACCGAAAGATAATTTTAAATTAATCACATAAATAAGAAGACATCAAGAATTCATCCCAATGATTATTTTTTAAAATTCCTAAAAAGCTCTTTAAACCTGGGCTGATTGAAAAAATGACCAGCAGTTGGACTCCAAATCAAAGGCTATCCACCAAAACAAACGCAAGTGGGCCACCGAATTTGCTTGTATTTGCATAGTTTAATTTTCATTTAACTTTTATTTGCCGTCACGTAGCCAAAAATAGCCGAAAACGGCCAAAAACGCAAAATGCCCAGCCAATGATTGGAGCTGTTTTCGTTGATTTTCATCGGTTGTCGGCTGCGTTGTTTGTCCTTGTTGTTGGTTGGTTGGTTGTTGGTTGTTTTTTGGTTGTTTGTTGGGCTGTCGTTGATTCGTTTGCATTGCCATAATATTTAATGGGCAGTCAAAAGTTGATGGGGCCCAGGTTCTGGGATAGGAGGAAGGCCTTGACTTTGACTAAAACTGGTTTGCCGGCAGTTATTATGTCGCATCATTTGAACAAAGTGTCCGCACATGCAAGGCAAACGAACTTAAAGAACGCAAATCCAACGGATTGGAAGCATCAAGCACGCAGGCTATATGGTTATATGGCTATATGGATATCTATCTGTATGCTATATGGCTATATGGATATCTGGCTATATGGTTATATAGCTATATGACTATATGGCTATAGAGTCATAGAACAAGCATCGCGGAAATGATGTCGAAGAAACAAAAGCGGGCGGGAAAGCCCAAATGAAATTCAGTTTAACCGAGGCACTCACCACCACGGGGATACACACACACTAATGCGCACCCGCACAACCACATAGACAGGGGGAAAACACACAGGGGCCCAAAACACAGTGGTGCAAATATTGAAATTGAACATTTTTGTCACGTGTCAAATGCCATTTATGCGCTTCGTGATCGCACGCGGCTCAGAGTTGGGAATATGGCCAGATATATGGGGGGAAAAAAGGGGCGTTAGAGGGTTAAACAGCCAGGCAAAATCGGGGGACAGACAGATCCGTCTATGACTGTCGGAGGGTTCGAGGAAATAAATGTCTTTCAATCGGGGCATTTTGAGGTTCTGACAAAGCACAAAAATAGCCACACAGGTACGGACGTTTTCAATGTCTTTAAGCTCTCAGGTCAGTGCAAGTGTGGCTAAAATGTAGTTATTTATTATATTAATTATTACTTTTATTATAGATTATTTAACACGAAACCCAAGTACTACTTTTAAACTATATACACAGCTTGTCAATAAATAAAGTAAATAGATTATGAAAATGTTTTATAATTTTTAAAGCAATATGAAAATGTATAATACTATTTTAACTATTTAACTGTTACCATTTAAAATACATTTTTGATAGTTTCCGTAAATTGTAATTTTACTACTTTTTATTTACATAGCTATGTAGGTCGTTTTATAAGTAGGATAATCTTTAAATCTTCTTCAGTTGGTATTTTGTAGAAATTTCCAAGGTCGTATCTATTTTTGAAATATTTAATATCTTGATTTATTGATATTTTATTTTTATTAAAGAAATTCAATTCAATTGGCATGACATTGACCACTTTTAATTCATGTTTTTTCTGCATTCGATATGGGTATCTCATAGTCGTGATGTCAAAGATACCAACTACAGTTTTTCTTCCTGTAATTCGTTGCTTGTGTTTTTTAAAGGGACGAGTGGGTGTGTTTTGCAGGTGCGTGGCTTTATCGCCATGGTTTCGAGTGCCTTTCGATGGCCGCCCACGTGGAGTTTTATTTTAAAGCGATTTCTCCATTCCATTTCAAATATTTATAAAATAACCCCAAAAGTGTCAGCTCAAGTGTGTGGTTGCGAGTGTGTGGGACAGTTTTATTAGCATATATCGATTGCACTTAGACGACGCAGGCAGCGACGTCGGCAGAGGCCATTGTGCAAACTAAGTAACGCAAAACAGCAGTGGATAACTCAAAAACTCTCGTATCCCTTTGCTTACTTTATTGTTTTTAATTAATTTATGGCTTATACAACGACAGGAGCACATACAGAAGCACATATATGTACATATGTATATGCATACGACGTGTGCAAGTGAAAGGAAATTGAGAGAAAAAATAAAAGTGATTTCAAATTTGATTTTCATTTATGATTTTAATTCGTTTTGTTTATATTGATTTATTTCAGCATATTTATTAAGCAGCTCTCTCTGTCGCACCTTTCTCCTCTGGGCTTTAAATGCGTTGTGGTAGTTTTCAATTTAATGGTTCACAACACTGCGTATGAGCAATATTGCGTATACGCCCAAACACTGCGTATGAGCAATATTGCGTATACGCCCAAAAAGTCTAGTTTTAATCATGCATTTGAACGGTATGACAGAGTTAGGCTTTTCGTTGGTATTGCCATACACAGTGTTCCGGGAAATAAGATGTCATTTATGGTTTTCGTTGCCGTTTTTCTTGGTGCAACACACGGCGTATGCGCAATGTTGCGTACAGGCAGTGTTTCCCAGAAGGCAATTATCGGTGAAAATTCTTTGAAAAACCTGGCAAAAGGAGTCGAACAAAGGAGCACAGCAAAAGCCATCTCACCGGGTTTGGAAAATGACATTCTGGGAAATGACATTCAATTCTCAGTCGTACTCCTGCCGTTTGACTGACCGAATAACCCTTTGTGCATTCCTGCCTTTCACTGGCCTTTCCAACGAATCCCCACCGAATCGAACTTTGAGTCTTCGAACCACCATCATGCATTAGAGCCCCTGTTTTTCCCAGGTCCCCTAATTTCCTTGCTACAGCCCTTTCCGCAGTGCATTACAATCCAGAAGCGAAAAGCATATCAAAACGGCAGGACACGTGCCACCTACCGAGTGACAAACGCTGCCCCACTCATCCATAAACAGGAGCTGAACAGGAACCACGTTTAAAAATAGCCAAGCCAAGTGGAGGGATGTATGAATATTAAAATACCATAAGTATCGACATTCCCAAGGGTTGCTATAAATAGTCTAAAACAACCGGGAACGCATTACTAGAGTGTCTCGACTATCGCATACCCATTACTCAGATGACCAATTGAACCTATTAACTAATGGCTCTATTTAAACCACATTTGAAACGCCAAGAGGTATTGAATAATGGAGTAAAATAAAAATTGCGCCACCTAGCGGCCATGGTTGGACTCGGCTAGTGATTCTTACCTACCGGCTACATACTTTCCAACGAATACAATATACCCTTTTACTCGATGAGTAACGGTTATAAATATAAATTTCTTAAGTGTGTCTGTATAAGAACTACACTTAAAGTTTTTAGGGGATATAATATAGATTTGTATATATTGAAATACAATAGATTGAGGTACTATTTAAAAATCTTCAAAAAATTTGAGCTTGTAATACATAAAAATAAATAAAAATTGAAGGTGTATCTTGAACCTATTGAATGGGTTTTTAGGGTAGACTCGGCTCAGTTACCTTCATATCCATAAAGAGGAATATCATCCTTGGTTCACTTTACCAGTGTAAGCCGTGTAAATCATTTAAGGGTTTTCCTCTTCCAGATGGCTAAGGGTTCGGGGATTGGGGAGAGTGGAAAGATGGCTGTGCTCTAAAAAGCTGATAATGCAAAAAGGCTTTGAAAATCATTTGTTACACTACGCGTATGGATGACTGTAAAGTGCCTGCGAAGGCACTCACTCCGTCTCTGTCCGCACCGTCGCCCCGTCCCTTTCTTACTTCTTACTTTCTCACCGGCCATGCTGTAACAATAATGTGCACTTATTTTTTATGGCAATCATTTAAGACAAAAATGTAGCTGCGGCAGAGCGAAGTGGTAGTAGAAGCAGACGCAGAGCCAGGGCCAGAAGTAAAATAAAAGCAGCCGAGTCCCTTTAAAAAGAATGAGAACAAGAAGGACCTCTTACAAAAGTATTTGTACAAGAGTCCACATATCTAAATGTTTGTGAGTGGTTGTGCAAGTGTGTTGGTGTTGGTAAGAGGGGGCAACAAAGTGGGGCACGATGCGAAATGGCGCCCAAAAAGTTGGAGGAGCATTTTAGGAGCAATTCAATGCGACTCCCAGGACTCCCGGCTATTGCCCTCTCCCTCTCGCACGGCCCAGTCCTCTCTCTCTTTCCCGCGGCAACGATGATGAACGTCAATCAGGGAAATTGCCATTTTTTCAACAATTTTTCACTCGTTCTTCGTGCGTAAGGCCGTTGGTTTGACGTCAGCAAGCAAAAATCGAGGGCCAACTCCGTTTTACACGACTGGCTTCAGTGGTCGAGAATATCATTGAACTAACCATTATCACGTCTAAAACTTA